CCCAGCTTGGTGTCGTCTGCAAACTTACACTCAATCCCTTTGTCCAGATCAGTGATAAAGATATTAAAGAGAACTGGCCCCAACACTGAGCCCTGGGGAACACCACTTGTGACCGGCTGCCAACTGGATTTAACTCCATTCACCACCACTCTTTGGGTCCGGCCATCCAGACAGATTTTTACCCAGCGAAGAGTACACCCATCCAAGCCATAAGCAGTCAGTTTCTCCAGAACGCTGTGGGAAATGCTGTCAAAGGGTTTACTAAAGTCTAGGTAGACAACATCCACAGCCTTTGCCATCTCTCCAGTTTTGCTGTCATGCAAGCATTCCCTCCTTTTATTTGCACAACGGAAGATCCAAAGAGCCCAGGAGTCAATCCCATTTTCTGCTATCCCACCAGGTAAGCAGCTGCACACACCCTGGAGAGTTGTCTTACCTCATCCACTCTGCTTTTCACTTCTGGATGCATTTTGTGGCCACTGCTGTGAAATTTCAGCTGCTGCTTGGCTTTGTTCACGTCCCGTTCTACCAGCTTCCAGTCCACTTTGATGTATCCCGTGTGGTTTGCAATCTGGAGTTTTCAGGGGTGGAAAGAAAGTTCCTTGAGTAAAGCCCTGCATGACCATGCCTAAACAGACCCCCTTGCCCACCCACCTTCCCTGACCACAGCCGCCTTCCCACAAACTGGTCCAGTGGGCTGAGAGGTGAGCACACCAGCTTAAAAATTGGACAAAGGACCACCCCTATAGCTGTATTAACTGTCCTGCAACATCTGTCTCCCACAGTAATCCCCTAACAGCCAGGGCACACATTGCAGGTTAGCCTGTTTCAGCCTCTATTCTGTAATGTAGAGCTGGCATCACCTCCCCCTCACAACTGCCACATATATCACTGGGACTCTCTGCAGCTCTCCTGCTGCTGTGGGTGGACACAGCTATTAATAGCCTGTTCCTCTCTACATATTTTATCTGGTCGGGATGATTCAGCAATGAAACTCTCTCTACTCAGAGTAAGCTTTTGCCTTTCATCAGAACAAGCAGAGCCAGAAGAGTGGGGAGAAAGTCACACACAAGACAGTGCCTGAGAAGCAAACAAGTAAGACTGCTGAGTGAGGCCTGAGAGCTGTTCTGCTGCCTGTGGGATGTAAGAGCTAGACGTCCACATCCAAGCAGGTCCCCTCAGTGCCAGGGTTCTTGGAAACCAGGAGAAATGGTTGAGGACAGAGATCTTAATTTCTCTCCTCTTCCCCAATGCTTTACAGAGAGCCCTGCCTGTACTGGCCTGACTCCTCAAGTAGCCAGGTTGACAGGAAGCACATCATAGACATGGACAAATCCTTTTTGACATCCAGGGTTGTTCCTCCAGGGACACAATCTCCACAGGCATAGGACTAGGTACAGTTGCCAGCACTGACCAGACAGTCCTGCAGCAGCAGCACGGTTTGCCACAGCTGAAGGCTGCCTCCTGCTTCACTCAGGTGCCCCTGCAGTAACAGCCCCCGTGCGCCTTTCGCCTGGCCTTTGTTAGCAGACCCTAAGTGTCTTTTGGCAATGCTGTAGTTTATACACATTGAGCCTGCTTTGCTGCTGTACATATGTACCCTGGGGAACACACATTCTTGACAGCCACGGCCACACAGAGCTCCTGGCAGAGCGGGGAACTGGCTCCACATGTCCCACCAAGTAATGATCACTAGACAGCCGTTCATCCCCATCAGCACAGTTTTTGGGAAGCCTGGCGCACTGTTCATACACACCTGAAGTAGGAAAAAGCCACCTCCTACTGCTGTTGCTGCCAGTTTTCCAACCTTCTGGAAGATGAATCCAGTACACCTACAAATCAACCAGGATTCAGTCAGGAGAATGAGATACCAAACACACACTCCTCAGCATGCTTCCCACAGGCAAGGCTGCCTTTGGCAGTAATTACCCAACACTCGGAGACAGCCTGATGAATGGCAGAAAAAAAACCATATGCAACCAGAGAGAAAGAGAAAGGACTTGTGCCCAGCCAAAAGCAGATGCTTTATAGTTTTTTATGTCTCATTATCACATTTCAGCCTTTTGCAGTTTTGACTTTTATCTCTTCAACATGAGCTTTTTCCCAAAAGAGTAATCAGAAACACGCGATTTCACCAAAATCAACAAGTGATTTTAGCTTTTTTTTTTTTTCTTCAAACGGGTATCATCTCTGAAGGGAAATTAGGCAGCACATCTGCTGTTACTCCATGATAGAGCATGGGGAACAGATCACAAGGCAAGACTCTTTGTTGCCCAAACAACTGCTTACTTTTCATTTCTCAGAAGAGAAAAAGCTGAAAAAAACCCAGACAGCAGTGGTCTAAAGCTATACTGGTCTCCAAACCGGGTTACATGCTCTCAACATGAAAGATGTCACTGCAGCCACCAGAACTCAAGGAAGTGCCACCCCATTGCTCAGTCATGCAGAAAAGGGCTAGTGTATTGTATCACCCAAAAGAGACTACTTTGACCACAGTTTCCTTATCAACATTACAAAACAACACAGCAACCTGCTCTTACCCATTTCTGAATATATACACTTAGTGAAGATAAGAGAAAGAGGTGACCCGCTCATATTTTTATCAGAAAATTAACATCTGTCATACACTTTTAAATGGTTACCCTAGTGCCAAACGAAGACAACAGGCAGGGCAAGAAGCAAAGCAGTGTGATTACATCAAGTTTTCAATTCAAACAATGCTGCTGTAGGAACGAAGTTGCAAACAGAGACACAAGCCACCAGCCCCAGGACTTGCTACAAGCAACACCAAACCCCAGGAACCATGCCCAAAGCTGCAATAAGGCACCACCACAGAAGGTTTTTGTGCAGATGTACCTCCAGGGAAGAAGGTATCTTTGTTCCAAGAGGCTCATATTTGCCAGTCCTAAATTCAACACCACCACTTTATGCCAGAAGTTAAAGAGAATTATCTCACCTCAAAAATTAAAGCCTGATGCCATTTTCTTCCCTAGCAGTTCTTCAGCTCCACGTTAGAGACAGCTTTTAAGACCTCCCGTAATTCAGCAGACCATGCCAGGGCACAGTGGGCTGAGCAAGCTGGACACCTGCCTTTTCTGAAAGACTGCCAGATGACCACCCTGCAGCTGCCAGCTTGTTCCCAAAAGCCCAGTT